AAATAATCAGGATTAATTAGGTGAGAGGTAAATTAAAATTAATTAAAATCACTTTTGGAAAAAAATGTGAAAAATGAAAGTTTTGGGGTAAAAATGCGACTAGGCAAAATTTCCCATGACTTAAAAATAAATTAGAGAATATTACTATAAAAATATTTTAAGCAATATTACTATAAAAATATTTTAAGCCAATATGACCAGTTTGAAAGAGAGTTAAGTGAGCAGGATAGATGAGTCTTTTCCCAATTGAGACATTATAACTAACTTAAAGCACCTAAAACACTCTCTTTCCTCCATTCTTCTTCTCCTTCCCGTTGAAGTGCCCTTCCCACAATCGAAGAAGGCTCTTTCTCTTCCCTCTCCCTTGTGCTCCACCATTCACTCAAGAAAAGAGATAAAACACTTGCCAATCTTCACCTTCATCACACCCATTCATTTTTTCCCACTTGAGAGTTGTATTTGAGTGAAGGAAAAACCACATTGTGAGGCCATTTTCGGATTTGGCAAGGGCTAGTGTTAAAGAGGGTGTGGAAAATCTTAGAGAACCTTCTTTCTTGGTTGTTAAAGCTCTCAAGGTAAATACCATGACCTCTTTGTTGGATTTCATGAAAATAATATGAGTTAGGTTATGTAAAATTAGGGATTTTATGATTTGTGATTTGCAGTATGAACCCATATGTAGAAATGCATGCTAGGGTGTTGAAGAGTTGTATTTTAGTGTAAATTGGGCTTCATTTCGTGCTGACTGCTGTTTTGGCCATTTGTCATGAAATATCCGCATATGGTATCCGGATATTGATATTCAAATATGCCCCCGAGGAGTATTATATGACATGATATTTTAGACAGTCTTTTGATATATGTATATATATATATATATATATATATATATATATATATATGTATGTATGTATATATATACATATATATTTATGACATGTTATTATAATGGAGAGCATAGAAAATATCTATGCCATTTGGATTGTTTATGCATGTTTGCTTGTGCCATATGTATAGGCCTATGTTTCTTATTTAATTACATCTCTTTTGAGTTAATTGATGTAATCACTTAAGTAACACTATTGGTATTGTTTAAGACATGATATGTCTGTGATAGCCTAAGCAATGGATTGCTAGGCAATATGTTTTATGCATGTATAACTTGTATATGTATTGTATAACATGATGACTTGGGTAGCAAGAATGCATGAAAAGGTGTTATGAACCTTGTAATCGAAAGATATGACATCGGGTAATAATGAGACTAATTATTGGAAATGACAATACATAAAGAAAAGAAAAAGGTTAATCACGATTTGAATTAGAGTTATTAGTGAATTATCAAGTAAGCTTCCACGTTTAATTGTTTAAACAAGTTGCGCTTATTACCATATGTATGTTAATACATCGGGTGCATAGGGGTGTTACACATATTAATAAAAACAATATCTTGAGTGAGTATAATTGGAGCGATATATAAATGTTACTATTGCAATAGTTTGAGGAATAATAAGCTAGAACAAGTTATGAAGAGAAAGATCAACTTACATAGATGTAAATAATAAATCTTATATTTTATTTTAGTAGTTATTCTCATTTGCATATAATGATGTAAATATTAGATAAGTGACTTTAAAAATCAAAATGAAGTGAATTGAGTTTTACAATGTTTTTTTTTTTTTGAAAATTGTCTCTTTTACTATTTTGAGGATCTATTTCTTCAAATTTTGATTTAAGATAATCAAGTATAGATGAAAACCCAAGTGTGCGAACAAATAAATATTTTAATATGCAAGTGAACACAAACAAGTAAAACAATTAAGTGACTGAAAGTAAAGAGTTTAAAATTAGAAAATTACAAACACAATTTATCTTAGTTTGGTTACCACCACTTGTGATTACATCCAGAATAAAATTGTTTGATTAATCATTCCATTATCTGTCAAGTTTCACAGGTTCTTGATAAACCGTTATAATCTACCAAGTTTATGAGTACTAGGCAACCTCATAAATTCATTCCTAAATTTACCTAGCAATGGGTTACATCTCAAACTCTAAGGGCCCGTTTGGTAGTAGGATTTTTTTTATTTTTCTGGGATTCCTTGGTTGGGTAAATAGGAATGCATCGTTTGGTACAGGATTTTTAAAATTTTCTCGGAAATCTGATTTTCCCGGAATTTTATTTTTTGTGTAATTTTTTTTTAAAAAACCATTCAGGAATACCATCCAGAGGTGGTATTTTAGGATTTCTATGACAAGGGAAAATTTAATACAACTAAACATAGCATCAAGAAAATTAACTCAATATTTCCGAGAATATGTTAGTCTACCAAACAATTTTTTAGTAACATTCCCAGGAAACTCATTTTCTCATCATATTCTTGGAAATCATGATTCCCGGATAAAAAAAATTTCTCCTCTACCAAACGCCCCCTAAGGGTCTCATTATTATTTAACTCAAGAATACAAGAAAGAAGTGTTTATGAATGAATAGGTACTCTCAAAAGCACAAATAACACAAGTTGAAGTTCTATGGATATTGATTTTTCTAAAAAAAAAATGTAACTCAAAAGCCATTAATGATCAAGAAGTGCTCAATAATCAATGCAACGGTGATTGGTTAGGTTGAAATGCACAATAAATGAACATAATTATGTTTGCTGAGAAATATAATTCTTTTTTGTTTGTTTATAGTCGCTAATTTTGTTTTATGATGTAGTGGATTGATTCCCATCGATTCCCACAATATAAGAATTGATTAACCTTATTACATATTGTGAAATACGACAAAAAATTAATTTTCTTGATCCAAATGAATTTTAAATGCTTAGAAACCTATGATAGATACTTGGGAAAAATCTTTCATGAATATGAGAAGTTAAAGATATTTTAAAATCGTTTTTGAAAGATTTCACATGAAATTATAATGTGAGGCATAAGTTTTGTATTTCTTTTGAGCTATTTGATACGAGATATTAAATATGCAATAGTCGAGTCTAATTCCTAATAGAACACTATATTAAAGCCTTGTACTTACATTCTCAAATGATGACTTGAATCTTGGATCTTCTCCTCAATTTTGTCATTGGTTTGTTTGCGTTCTTGATATTTGAAACTTGTGATATTTACTTGAAGCTTGGGACATTTACATTTTAGTTTCATTTTTTATTTTTTCAAGTTGTTGCTAATTTTTATAACGGTTTGTTATCAACAAAACATTGCTAAATGAAACACCATCAAATGTGCGTTATTGAAAACTCTAGTTTCACATTAAATATCTAAGAATATAGAGCCATTAAATAAAAAAAATCAATATTTAAACTTATAATAAAATTATACCCGTATAAATGAAGAAATTAACATTTCTTATGTTATATGACATAATTTTAATTTCTACACACATATAAAATTGTATGAGACTCATATTTTTCTTTTCTATTTCTTCTCTTCACATGGATCCACATGAGCTCCACACGATTTTATATGTGTAGGAGATAAAATTATTTCCTACAACATGAGAAACATTAATCACACAAATTAATCCTTTTCGTTTTTTGAATTATTTATTAAATTCTTTTTATATATTAAAATGATAATTAACTTTCCCATACCTTAAAAAGTAAAAGGGAATTACTTTTCTTATATTACATAAAAAAATTATCTCCTACACTCATACATTTCAAATGGTCCTACAAGATTTTTTTTCTCTCTCATAACTATTGTTTGAGCATGAGATAATACTTCTTTTATGCAACATAAAAGAAGTATTATCCAAAGTAAAATTACACCTAATTAGATTCTGATATAAATTTAATATAAAAATATTATAATTATAACCATTAATTAACACTCCACTCGCACTTCTGTACCTTTCCTGTTTTTAGCCACTAATAAACTCATCTCACACAGCTTCACTACCGCCAAGAGCAGCGACAAGGACAACAACGCTCCATCTCTGTATATCTCTTCCCATAAGCTCACAGAGCAAACCATCGTTACAAAATATCCATTATTAGTCGGCTTCAAAACAAAGCAAGACAAGAAAGCACTATTTCTTACATTCTCTTCATGAGTTTTTTTTCTTGTCTAACAGAATTTTATAATTTATAAATTAGAATATGTTTTTATCTAATTTAATAATATTCAATACCATTAAATATAAAATATTATTATCGTTCGTATATTATATAATATTTCATATAATACAACTTCATACTTTTACATATTGTCGTATAAACCACGCCCTAACATCCAATACCTGCCCGAGAAAAGACAAATAACGGATGGCACGAGAAAAAAAAAAGCCCAAAATATAGGGATAAACACGATTTCCCAGTCCACGTTCCCATGAGCAAACGACCCAACTCTCCATTAATGCCGTGAATTTAATATTACATGCTTGCACCGTGCATCCAATTGCCTCGCACATCACCACCGTCCATTCCATTTTAGTTTTCTCTTTATAGCTTCCATAAAACTCCAATTTTTTACTTTCCCTTTCTCTACGGCTTCCATTAAATAAAAATATCATCTTCTAATATAATCACTAATGCATATCTTGCTAACCAAATCATTAAAACATGGAAATAATCTTTAGATGATAAATTTTATCTTTTATACAAATATAAAAATGTGTGAGAATTATATTTTTTTTTTCCTCTTCTCCTTATATAGATCCCATGGGTAAGAAATAGATAAAATTATCTCCTATAATACGATAAAGATTACTCCCTTGCAATATCTCACATATAAAGTAAGGGTTTCTCTTTTCTCCTGCCACGTGAGGTTCATCTCTCATGCCATTAAAAAAAAATAAAAAAGATTACACAGATTTCAATGTCCCACAACATAAGAAAGCTATCTCATATCACATGATAAAATGATTTAACTCCATTGATTAACATTACAAGGGTAATCAACATTTTCCTTCCACTTTCTCTAATCTTAATTGTTACGACAAGATATATATAGCACGTTACGAAAGCAAAGCACAGAACAGTACAATAATATATTTTATATAAAAATAGAAACAATAAGGGGTCATTAACATAAAGTTCGTTCTTCAAACATCCACAAGGAGAGGCTGAAATGAACATGGCGGACTCAGCACTCCACTTTACAAAATCAATTTTTCTTTTTTAATCAAAACCACTAATTTTACAAAAGGAAGATTAACAACTAAATTAACAAAAAATTACACTAGAAACCCCGAAATTTTAATGAAATTATTGATATTATTATTATTGTTAATTATCGTTATACCTTTTACTTCCCTGTTCCTCTGCCAATCATATCCTTGTACCTCATGATTGAATCCAGCCTCTGCAACTTCAGCTGCTGCTTGAACTTGTTGATGAAATCGTCAGCCTTCGCATCCACTCCGTCGTCGTCCGCGCCGCCGCCGCCGCCTCCAACCTTCGCCTCCTTCACGGTGGCCGGCCGGCGACTCTCAACCACAATGTCATCTTCCTTGAAATGCGAGAACGCAGATTTTGTGCTCGCCGATTTTTTCATCTTCCTCGGCAGCTTCACCGGCACCTCGCCGGCGGCAGGCTTGGTGTCGGAGAGCGCCCTGGCGAAATGACCACCCTGCCCCTGCAGCTGGCTGTAAATCTCGTCAAGAGAAGAACCCTCCTCGTGCTCATTAAGGTTGTCTTCGATTTGCCCTACAACATCATCCTCGTATTCTTCCTCAGTTTCCACCACAGCGTTGTCGTCGTACACGTGTTGTTTCTGCGGCTTGTGAGTTTCGTGGGTTATGTTGGAAACGTTGGTGTCGGTTGTGAGCTTAGAAGAGAAGGGTTCAGTGGGGAAGTAACTGTAGAGGTTAATGGACTTGAGTCTTTGAAGCATAGAGGGAGATCTGGCAAGTTGAGGATTTTGGTGTTGGTGTTGGGGTTGGGGTTGGTGTTGGTGTTCTTGTTCATGAGGATGATGAGGGTCTTGGGATCCGTAAGGGTGGTAGAAGAAGTTGATGGATTTGAGCCTCTGCAACATAGATGGGGATCTAGCAAGTGGTTGTTGTGGAAAATCATGTCCTTGACCTTGAGGATCTTGTTGTTCCCAGTGTTGGTGTTGTTGTTGTTGTTGCTGTTGGTGTTGTTTGCGAGTGCCATTGGCAAGGGTTGAAGTGATGTAAATGGTTCCAATAACAAGCTGAAGGACCACAAAGAAGACAGTGGGAGTGAACCAGCTGTTGAGGCCGGACCAGAATGTTGGTGCGGATGATACTGATTCCTCAAGCATGGCTTCGATTTGCAACTTGTGGTTGAGAACAAGGTAAAGGGGTTTTGTGTTTTGTGTCTGCACCCTAGAGCTTTATTAGATTAGAGATACTTGGTTCCAATTGTAAAGGTCAGATACTAATAAATTTACATGTACAGTGAGGTGTGGGGGTGTTGTTATTAATTATCACTTTATTGAGATTAATATTTGGTAACGTTTATTATAGATTAATATTTAGCTTAGCCTTAGAATTGTTTGTTTGTTTTTTGGAAGGGTGGATTCACATCTCGAAAAACACGTGGTGGCATATGACGGGTCTGCTACAAAGGGACAAGATAGGAGGGTAGATTTATGTAACGCGAGGAAGTTGTTGCCTTGTTGGATATGGAGATATTAGCCTTGACTTTAATGAAAAGCCTTGTGAATTGAATTTGAACCTCAGCGGAATGGGCTTTGCTCTGGTTAGGGCAGTCATTCAATATTGAATTATTGGATCTTTGTTAACATGTGGAGGCCGACATGCTTCAAATATTAAAAACAATAATTATTAAATTAAAATTAAAATATCTAATATTTTTTAAAGAGAGATTAAACTTATTATACTTTTTTACTATCTTTTATTATTAAATCTTAACTGTTGATTTTCGTCAATATAATTATTATAATTTATTGGTCACGTTTATTAATTAATTATAAGTATTAAATTAATAGAAATTAACGATTAAAATTTAATAGTAAAAAAAAAAGTATACACTACCCCAATTTTTAATTAATAAAATATAATATATTAGTTTAGTTCTTTAATAAGATACGTTAATAAAAATTATACAGAATGGATCATCTCGTATGTTAATTAATATAACTATGTTATGTGAGATGATTCTAATTATTTATACATAAATTAACTATAATGATTTAGTAACTCTATGTTATGATATGTTTTCTTTCATTTCTTATCACCATTATTTTTATTTTTATTTTGGTAATACTTCATCATTAATTTATTTATGAATAATTAGGATCTTTTCTGATATTAAATAACATACAAAATGATACCTTCCCAAAAAAAATTATTACTTTAAATCAGGATTTTTCCTCCCTCCCTGCCTCTATTCGCTCCTTCATAAATCATTATTATTTGTTTTATGTTCCGACACTCTTTGTCTATTTCTCTCTACTTAATTTTTTAATATATCAAAATTGTAATAACCTTGCTAAAAGTCAATGTACTCTTTTTTATTTGCCCATAAAACTTTGTGGTTCGAATCGCTTAACAAAACAGTAACGGTGGATCTTATCTAATTACTCTCCTCATGGAAAATGTCAAAAAAGCACGAAATTGTTTTTGTCAAATAGAAAGTAATGTTCTTGAAATCGGATCGAACTAACTCGGATCATCAATATTGGCTTTGGTCCAGTTATTAAATCGATTCTGCAAGTGAACCGGTATCAAACCGATCCAAATTTTGAAGTTGAACCAGTTTTAAAGTTAATGTTACAAAATCTTAGATGGCTGCAAGCTGGTGTCAAGCCTAATACTTTCAAGTGTATGGCTGTAATATTAATTATCAAGTCATAATGGTTTATTAATTATAATGTGCCTATTATTATATTAATTATATATTTGATTTAATCAATAATTCACTGGTTCAATAAAATTATAAAAATTCATTGATCTAGTATTTTGACGTCCATCAATTTGAATTAAATAAAATTGGATTATATTACTTATAAAATAGTTTTTTACCTTTATTTATATTTATAAATTTATAAATTATTTAAGTGTAATTCATAATATTTTTCATAAAAACTAATATAATAAAAAATAATTCCTATTAAGCTTAATGTTTTTGTTATAAAAAAAAAAAAAAAAATTATACGTATCAAATAATATTGCTAGTCCCTCCACACTCGTAGAACTCAAGGACTATTACCTTTCGCGTTTGTATAGTATTGGACAAATCGGGCTAGCATTATTTGGGAGCAGCGAAAGATATATTAAATATAAAGGCTGTGCATGACAATCATTTTATTTCTTGATACTGTTTCTGAAAAGAAATATTTCTTTTTTATTTCTGTGTCTTGGAACAGTTTCTGAGAAAAAAATGTGTTTGATAACATGTTCTATTTTTATTCTAAGAATGAGAATTGCGTCTGATAACACCACAAATAATATAATAAAAAATAATTCCTATTAAGCTTAATGTTTTTTCAGATCATCACTTTTCTTTTCATATGTCGACAGTGGTGGTGGCAGTGACGACAATGGTGGTACTGACGGCAGGCGGTGGTGGCAGCGTGGTAATGTTGGTGATGGCATGGTAGTGGTGGCAATGGCAGTGGCGATGACGTGGTGGCGGCATGGTGGTGATAATGGTGGTGGCGGCAGTCAGGGGCGGACCCAATAGGGGGCTAGGATGGGCCCCCGCCCCCTTCTAAAATTTGGGAATTTTTTTTATATAATATATGTAGAAAAATGTGATGATGAAATTATCATGTTGTACATATTTTTTCCTTCAATTCTATATGTTTCTGCCCACACTCTTACCCATATTTTTTCTTGAGAACATCATATCATCCTCTTTTTCCTTTTTTAATTCCACTTTAAAGTGGGAGGCGGTGAGGGCTCAAGCTCTGATACCATGTAAAGAACCTTGGGATACACCACCCCAAAAGCTAGCTCTTGAGGTGAGACTATATATCTCAACAATCCTCTCTCTCCTTTCCGTGTTCCGTCCATCACCAATCTCCTTCTTCATTTTTTCGATTTTGGCTGCGTAAATTTTAGAGCCAGGTAGAATCAACTTCTTCCTTCCTAAGATCATTGCGTGTATGTATAGTCATAGACTATCTGTGATTACATACATTGAAAAAGAAATTATTTTGAGTTTTAGCACAGATTCAATTATGAGTTTGACAATATGAAAACACGTAGAGTAAGAGTAAGTGAAGTGATATTAATTTCTGTAATAGATTTTTTTTTTCAATTTTTTGTATATTAAGTTTGTATTATATTTCAAGTATTTTTATTTATGATATAGTATTTTTTATTTCCGCTCCCTCTTATTAAAATTCTTGCGTCCGCCACTGGCGGCAGTGGCTGCGACGATGATGGTAGTAATGGTGACGGTGGTGGCGGCATGGTGGTGGTAGTGACGGTAGGGGCTACGACGATGGTGGTGGTGGTTAGTGACGGTGGCAATGATGTAGTGATGACAGTGGCTACGGTGATGGTAATAGTGGTTGGTGACGGTGGTGGAAGTGGTAGCGTCGTGATGGTAATAGTGGTGGTGATGATGGTGGTGGTGATAGCAGTGGCTGCGATGGTGGTGGTGGTAGTGATGGTGGTAATGATGATGTCATCGTGGTGGTGATGGTGGCGGTGACATCGTTGTGGTGGTGGTGGTGATGGTGGCGGTGACATTATCGTGGTGGTTGTGACGATAACATTGGTGGTATAACGACAGCGGCGACGATGGTGGTGGCATCATGGTGGTTGTGATGACGACATTGGTGGTACAACGGTGGCAATAATGGTTGTGGTCGTGTCCGGATGATGATAGTAGAGAGTGATTGAAAGAAATAAATGTTTCTCATTTTGTGCCTAGGAACAAAAAAATAATTTTTTTTTGTTCCCTAGCACAAAAATTGAATCTGTTCATCCTGAGAACAAAAAAATAAATCGATTTTACCAAATGAATTTTCTATTTTTTTTGTTCTAGGAAAAAAAAATTTCGAAAAATTTATCATGCACACCCTAATTAAAAATAGTTTCGTGGTCAAATTTATTAATCAATTTAAGTTTTGTTTAAACATTTGGAAATGGATATTTGACCAAAGTCAGAAATATTTACTTCGTACGAAAGCAAGCAAGCACAGACACGCTTTCCTCTGAAAAATTTGCGTGTCGGACACATGTCCGACACAGACACGTTCCGACACGCGGTTAATATTTGGGGACACGCGGTCAACTCTCCGACACGTTTCGACACCTTTTTCTGACACGCAGTCAATTTTTTTCGACACGCGGTCAACTCTTGAACACTTTTTTTTAATCTTAATTTTATTTTATTAACTAAATATAAAAAAATTAATTTTTTTTATTATGAAATTTGACATAAGAAATTAACAAAGTACGAAAAATTATTTTTATTTATATTTATGTTATAAAATTTAAATATTTGATTGGTTATATGACTTATTATGGACTATTATATTATTAAATATAAATTATATTATATATATATAAAATTTTATTTAATATCAAAACATGTCTCAACATGTCGAAATATGATATTTTTTAGAATTAACGTGTCGGCGTGTCGTGTCGTGTCGGTGTCGGTTCCCTGGCACAAAACTTGAATCAGTTCATCCCAAGAACAAAAAAATAAATCGATTTTACCAAATGAATTTTCTATTCTTTTTTGTTCCAAGGAAAAAAAAATTAAAAAAATGATTCTGAAAAAATTATGATACACACCCTAATTAAAAATAGTTTCGTGGTCAAATTTATTAATCAATTTAAGTTTTGTTTAAACATTTGGAAATGGATATTTGACCAAACTCAGAAATATTTACTTCGTACGAAAGTATACTGAAAAGCGCAATTTGCACGTTTGTGTTCACAAAAACGTGAAACTAACATACACTTAAAGTTGAATAAGTTTAACGTGATACAAAAGTCTAAGCATTTTTTCTCCAATCAGATTTCAACAATATTGGTAGGAGATTATATGCTATCCTGGGGGGCTGCGTTTAGTACAAGAATTTTTTTTTATCGGGTAATAATTATTATGGAAATATAATAGAAAATATATTTTACTGAAATATTATTAAAAAATTATTTGGTAGACTCATATTTTTCTAAAAAAATTAAGTTAATTTTACTGAGTTTGTGTTTGATTGATTATGAAATATTAATAGGAATATTAAGTTATTTTACCGAAATAAACCCATCTTTACCTTTTGATTCAAAAAGTACAATAAACCTTATTCACCATATTGAAGAAACATATTTGGATATCGCTGGTATCTTCACCAGAGGTTTATCTCCTGTGCCTAGGGGGCTATGGACACCTTCATAAGGAACTAAGCTTTTTAAGTTGAAGTATGGTTCAAATGTGTAA